AACGGATGGGCAAACTGAGGTTGTCAACCGCTGTTTAGAGGCTTACTTGTGCTGTTTTGTATCCAACCATCCTCGGCAGTGGTTTACGCACCTTCCGTGGGCTGAATATTGGTACAATACGAGTTTTCACGTTTCAGCGGCCATGACGCCTTTTAAGGCTCTCTATGGTCGAGATCCTCCGCGGTTGGTTCCTTTTGAGGTCGGATCTACGGCTACCTCAGAGTTAGAGCGGCAATTATGTGATCGCGATGCACTTTTGGCTGACTTGAAGGACCATTTGGGCCGCGCCCAACAGTCCATGAGGGACCACGCCAACAAGAAACGCCGGATGATAACTCTTGAGGTCGGCGACATGGTTTACTTGAAACTTCAGCCGTACCGTCACCGGGCATTAGCCAAGGTAGTGAATGAAAAACTCGCGCCTCGCTATTATGGACCGTTTCCGGTGCTTGCTCGTGTTGGTCCCGTGGCCTACAAGCTGCAACTTCCCGTACATGCCCGGATTCACCCGGTATTCCATGTGTCGCGCTTGAAGAAGGCTCTTGGCCCGGTGGATAGTCCTCAATCTTTACCTCCCAACTTGTCGGAGGACTTAACATTGCAGGTGGAACCGGAGCAAGTTGTGGATACGCGTTACTCTCCGATTACTGGTTCTCTGGAGGTGTTGATCAAATGGCGCCATCTTCCGGATTTTGAGTCTTCTTGGGAATTGTTTGGGGATATGCAACGCCAGTTTCCAACCTTCCACCTTGAGGACAAGGTGACTTTTTTGAGGGGGGGTGTAATTGATAAGCCTTTACTCAGGCAAGTGTACATTAGGAAGAGCAAAGACTTAGGAAGGGGCAGGGCTTGATCGTGGGAGAGTTATTTTAGCCTTAAGTGGGAACTCTTAGTGTTAGTAGTAGGTTTTCTGGTTAGCTGGCAGGGGAAAAGGAAAGGAAGGAAATTGTATAAAAGAGGAGGTAAGCCGAATGGAGAGGGGGGGAGAAATAATCTGGAAGTAGAAAAGTCTTGGAATCATTCCAAGCAAGGGGAGGAAGCAGACCCTCGAAGTTCTGCCTCTCTTTGTATAGAATTTGTCTGTCAATAAAGTTCCTTCGTTAATTCATCTTTGATTCTTTTGATTCTTGAATTTACTCTTTCGTGAACTTGTTCCCAAACACCAAGGCCTTATCAATTAGCTATGTCTATTGATGTGAGATAACAAGTAGTTACCTTAAAAACAGCAGCACAACATGGACCACGAACTGTTGATAGGTGCATAAATTCAGCAAAAGTCTTCCAAGTAAGATGATTCAAAACGCGCAACATCTGGTCATAACTGCCAACTGCTAGAAATTGACCACAAGGAGACCATGAAACACTTTTTACACCTAATCCACTTTCATATGCGTGATACTTAAAAAGACACCTCCCATCTGGTGAGTATATTAGGACCTGCGTAGACGAGTTCAAACCATATCAAATCTGAGCTTTTAAAGCTTCCACCAATAATAGCTTGCAAAGCATCCAACAGTAAATAACTAAGGCCGATCCTAAAGCCATGGAGAACGAAAAAAGGAAAGAGCAATAAAAGAAATGGTGTTATTACCTTATACTCAAGAGGTGAATCCCAAATCACTACTGAACTATCATCTGGCGACCATTGAACCTCAGCCAAATCTAGTGTATCAACAGCAAATACACCCATTATCTCCCATGTATGACAAGACAGCAGATTAATATAGTCCTTACAATCACGTCTAGTGCAGACGGCAGCAAATTTTCCGTCTTGGGTGAAGGAAACACCCTTTGAAGCATGCTTTGGCCATTGCACGTGTACACAAGCAGTGTTCAACAATGACCAAACTGTTAATCGCAGTTGGAAATCTGATGTGGTAAGTATGTGACGGCTATCTGGACTCCACCTAGCATAAGCAATACCAGCAGGACCTTCATCGATCTTACATGTCCATTCAGGTTGGGTCAATGACCATGCCTGTATCATTGGTCTTTTATATAGACCACAAAGAATGTATTCGGAATCTAGGGCCCATTCAATATAGCTAATCTTGTCCAAGCACGAAAATAACTGCACAACCTGCATTAGAGGATATAAGGTTGGTTCACTTTCTAGATTCACATAATTAAAGTTATCAATAAACTATTCAGTTAATTTAAGGTCCCTGTTTAAAAGCCATGAGCATAAAATACACCGCAATCAGAAAATATAAAGTGTACCACACGAGAACCTTCTCTTTGCTATTATTTTAATCTATTTTCCTTCCACATAAACTAGGGCATGCAGTGTCTTAGCTACATGTATGAGAGTAAACACATGGATTTAAAGATTACATGTGAAACTGAAATCTACACTCTTGCTAATACCATAGAATATACATAGTTTCATAGAGAACTCTCGTAAAACAACTCTGTAGAGGGAAGCACCCCAGACATTACACCAATTGAAACAAAAAGTTCCCATTTTTTATGAAGAAAAAAATAATCAACTCCACAAGCCCAAATGGATGTATGGCGTTCAACTAAGTTTCAAAACAAAATGAAGATTGCTAGCAAATTTGTTAGGATTCCTCTCTTTTGAGGCAAATAAAGGCAGTGAACTACAGAATTAACGAGAATTATGGAGTAATAACCAGAAAAAGTGGTCTAGTTCCTTTTATTGAATCAACAAGGAAGCACAATGCAAAAAAAAAAAACAACAAAACTGGAAAGAGGGATGGAGGAGAGTTCAAGGACTCCTCTAGACCTCCACAGACTCAATTCCTTTCTAAATTCTCGATGCCCTCTACTAAGCAGCCTTAGGCTATTTATTCTAATTCCCTGTAACTAACTCTTTTCCCAATACCCATCCCTTACACAATACCCCATAACCGTATCCTAATGAACACCCCTCACCACTTGCCCTGGCCCTGGGGTAACCAAATTCCCAACCTGCCCTTGCTCATTCTTTTCCTTTCTTCTAGCGTAAACAAACCTGAGGGATGGAGGTCTAACATTACCCCCCTTCTCAAGCTCGACCTTGTCCCCAAGGTCAAAGTCCGGCAGTGGCTCCCAGGTAGCATCTGCCGGTGGTAACCCCTTCCACTGCACCAAAACCTCGTGCACTTGGTGTCCCCCGACGGCGACGGATCGAGAGTCCAAGATGGTGGCCGGTTGAACCAAGAGCTCTAACTCATCAGTCAACTGCTCAGGCAGGAGCAGACCGGTGTAGTGTTGTCCCTTAAAGGCTTTGAGCTGTGACACATGGAAGACCAGGTGGATTTTGGAGCTGTCGGGCAAGTTGAGGTGATAAGTGACCGACCCTACCTTAGCCAGAATGGTGAAAGGCCCATAAAAACGAGGACTAAGCTTTTCATTGACCCTATGTGCCAAGGACTTCATGAAATAGGGGCGCAGCTTCAATAAAACCAAATCTCCCGGGGCGAATTCGACTTCTCGGCAATGGCGATCGGCAAACCGCTTCATGCGTTGTTGAGCCAAAAGAAGGTGATCCTTAAGGATGTCCAGCATGTGATTGCATTGCCGGAGCTGCACTTCGACCTCATTGACGGCTGTCGAGCCTTCTGGAAAGCGGTATAGGATGGGAGGATCTCGAACATACACTACTTGAGAATGAGAGCATTTAATGGAAGCATTATAAGTAGTATTAAACCAGTACTCCGTCTAAGGTAAAAAGGAGAGCCACTGCCGCGGTTTGTCACAGGTGAAACATCGAAGATATGTTTCCAAGCAACGGTTCGTAACTTCGGTCTGGCCGTCCTATAGGGGATGATAAGTAGTACTAGGCGGCAGCCGAGTGCCCTGGAGCTTGAACAACTCGCACTAGAAAAGGCTCATAAAAATAGAATCGCGGTTGCTGACAATGGAGCAGGGAAACCCATGCAAACGAACAATCTCCCGAACAAACAAGGCAGCCACCTGTGTTGCCGTGTAAAGGTGGGCCAACGGACAAAAATGCGCGTATTTGGATAGGTGATCGAGGATGACCAAAACAGTGTCCATCCCTCGTCACTTTGGAAGGCCACCGATAAAATCCATAGACACATCCTCCCAAATCCGAACCAGGATAGGTAGCGGTTGCAATAACCCCACGGGCGACAATGCTTCCCTTTTCGAGTGTTGACACGTCGTACACTTGTCCACAGTCCTTTATAGTTTTCTTCATTCCCTTCCAAAAGAAAACCGCTGATATTCGTTTATATGTCCTCAGAAAACCCGAGTGCCCCCTACCACCGAGTCATGGAAATCATGCAAAACACGAGTGATCCAAGCCAAAGTTGGGGGCAGAACCACGTGGTCCCGAAAATAGAGCAAGCCCTGGCGAATCCCATATCCCTCCCGAATTGGCTGATCCTATTGCACGGCAGTAATGAGCATGGCACAATCCGGGTCCGCTAGTTGGTCGTTCTTCAGCCCCTCGATGTCAAAATGGTGAGGAATAGATATTGTCGTGAGGATGGCATCCGCTGCAGTTCCCCGCCGAGACAAAGCATCTGCTGCCTTGTTTGCAGCACCCCCCATTTATACTGCACTTCGAAATCATACCCAAGTAATTTTGCTACCAGGCGTAACTGTTCTAGTGGAAGAACCCGCTGGTCAAGGAGGAATCGCAAACTCTGCTGGTCCAAGCGCACGACAAAGTGTTGCCCCAAAAGGTAGTGTCGCCACTTCTGCACAGCTTGCACGATAGCCAGAAGTTTGCGCTCATACACCGATGTCAACTGGGAAGTGGCTGAGAGAACCTTACTAAAATAGGCAACCGATCGGCCCTCTTGCATTAGGACGGCGCAAATCCCACTTCATGAGGCATCCGTCTCCACAACAAACAGCTTGGTAAAGTCAGGCATGACTAACACTGGCAGTTTCGTCATGGCTGTCTTCAATTGAAGAAAGGTTGCGTCTTCCAGGTCCGTCCAAAGAAAAGCCCCCTTCCTGACCAAATCGGTAAGAGGACGGGCAATGGTTCCATATCCTCGCACAAAACGCCTATAATAGCCGGTGAGACCTAAGAATCCGCGGAGCTCCCGAACATTCTGAGGGGTCGGCCACGAAATCATGGCGTCAACCTTGGATGGGTCGGCTGACACGCCCTCAGAGGAGATGACATGGCCGAGATATTCCACCTTCGTATTCATTAACGACTGGAATGTGGCCGGGGCGTTGGTGAGGCCAAAAGGCATGACGAGAAACTCGTAATGCCCCTCGTGAGTGCAAAACGTTGTCTTTTCTACATTGCCCTCCCGCACCCGTATTTGGTGATACCCCGCCTTCAAGTCCAATTTAGAAAAGATCGTGGCTCCATGTAGCTCATCTAATAGCTCGTCGATGATTGGAATCGGAAATTTATCCGGGACCGTGAGCTGATTTAAAGCTCAGTAATCCACACAAAACCTCCAACTCCCGTCCTTCTTTTTGACCAAAAGAACCAGGCTGGCATAAGGGCTGCTACTAGGTCTAATGATGCCGGAAGCCAGCATGTCTGAAACTAACTTTTCGATCTCCACCTTCTATATCTGTGGGTATCTATAAGGCCGAATATTGGGAGGAGTAGCACCCTATCGCAAGATTATCCAATGATCCCTCGCCCGGCGCAGTGGCAGCCCTTTTGGGGTATCGAAGACATGGTGGAATTGCTGGATAATCCCATCAAACCCCGAAGGCAGGGTTTGTGTTTCCAATAGCTTCTCCTCCTCTACTGAGCACAATTCTAAGAGTACTCCCACTTCCCTTGCTTGACAGAAACGAGTCAAGGAACGGAAACTTACTGGGGAGTAGCTGAGGGAAGGATCCCTGGTCCACTGGACCCACTCGGTCCCCTGCTGGAATTTCATGGTGAAATTTGCCCAGTTCGCCCGTACCTTGTCTAAAGTGCTTAGCCACGTAACTCCCAACACGACTTCCGCGCTGCCCAGTTCAAACGGGAAAAAGTCCTCGACAACCCAATGCCCCTGTATAAGTACCCTCACCCCTCGGCACACCCCGCTCTGTTGAAAACTCATGCCATTGCCCACTTGGATTTTATGCCGTACAGATAAATCCGAGGGTAGTGCTAGCATTCGCACCAACTCTGCAGAGATGAAACTGTGGGAAGCCCCACTATCTACCAGCACGATAACTTCCTTGTCGCCGATGGTTCCCTGCAGCTTCATGGTCTTTGCGGAAGCGAATCCCCAGAGTGAATTCAGTGACAAATCCACGTTACCTTCGGTGGTTTCTACCTGCATGGCCGCCACTTCAACCGTCTCCTCTTGAGGGTCCTCCTCTCTGTCGGTGTCTTCCCCGGTGATAAGAAGGACTTGGAGTTGTCAGAGCTTGCAGCGGTGCCCATGGCTGAACTTTTCATCGCACCTGAAGCATAACCCACGTGCCCGTTGCTGTTGTATCTCCTCATACGAGAGCCGACGAAAGTTGATCCGCCGCTTGCCGCCGTACTTGCAGCCACCCCAGGTGCGTCCCGGCTTTTCTGCACTGTTGTGGGGTCTCGCAGCGCTTGGGATCGAAGGGAGCCCTCTGGAAACTCAGAGAAGCTAGGGTTGGTGTTATAACCTGGTTTACTCAAATGCTCCACACGGTTGCTCCGACCCGCCCGACCCTTCTGTACCCGATCCACCGCCTCCAACCTGTCTTCCACTTGTTGGGCTAAGTCCATGGTCTCAATCAAACTATTGGGCCTGTGCATTTTCACTTCAGCTCGAATGTCCTCTCTTAGTCCATTAAGGAAGGCACTCTTGTAAACCTTCTCGGGAATTCCACGCAAAGAGGCCGCCAATGACTCAAACATTTCTCAGTACTCTGCCACCTTGCCGGAGAGACATCAGTCTCTCTGTGGGATCTCCCTCTCGTGACAGGCTGAACCGCTGGAGGATGGCTGCCCGTAACTCCTACCAATCTCCAAATGGTTCCTGCGAATCAAGCCATTGATACCAGCTCAGGGCTTGCCCTTCCATGCATACGGAAGCGGCCACAACCTTTTCGTCATCATCCACGTCATTGACGGCGAAGTAACGCTCGGCCCGGAAAACCCACCCATGTGGGTCTTCCCCGTGGAACAACGGAAGTTCCAGCTTCTTTCCCCGGTGTTCCCCCCGACTTTGCGCTCTCTCCGGCGACCTATAGCGGAGATTTCCATTCCTTCCTCTTGCTGGTTCCCTCCTCGGCGGACTGAACTCGTCCCGCGCTGGCCGAACGGCCTCTCTCCTCGGAGGAGTCTGATCATTCCGTCCTCGCCCTAGAGAATTAGGTTCATCCCGTTGCCGTCTGGGCAGTCACTGGTCGTTGCATGCTTGCCTCACAATGAGTTCCTCCAGCCTCGCGATTGAGCCCTGGATCCCGTCGATCTTGGCTCCCATCGAGGCTACCTCGCCCTGGACTTCCCCGAGTCGTGTTCCCATGGAAACCACGTCTCCTTGAAGTCGTGATACTGGGCTCACCATGTCCCCAAAGGACTGCAAGGAATCCTGGAATCCGTTCAATCTTCTCTCCAGCAGCGTGAATCGATCTGATGGTTCGCCATGGATCGTCGCTTTGATACCAAACGGTTAGGATTCCTCTCTTTTGAGGCAAATAAAGGCAGTGAACTACAGAATTAACGAGAATTATGGAGTAATAACTAGAAAAGTGGTCCGGTTCCTTTTATTGAATCAACAAGGAAGCACAATGCAAAAAAACAACAAAACTGGAAAGAGGGATGGAGGAGAGTTCGAGGACTCCTCCAGACCTCCACAAACTCAATTCTTTTCTAAATTCTCGATGCCCTCTACTAAGCAGCCTTTGGCTATTTATTCTAATTCCCCGTAACTAACTCTTTTCCCAATACTCATCCCTTACACAATACCCCGTAACCGTATCCTAACGAACACCCCTCACCACTTGCCCTGGCCCTGGGGTAACCAAATTCCCAACCTGCCCTTGCTCATTCTTCTTCTTTCTTCTAGCGTAAACAAACCTGAGGGCTGGAGGTCTAACAAAATTATATCCAATTTTCCTAGCAACCAAGCAGAGTACTTAAATGTCTCATGCTTCACATCACAGAATCACAATGTGAATCACAATGTCAGTTAGCGTATTGCTACAGATTAAGCTCACATTGCGCGACATCGATAATCAGCCACTAAGATTTGATGAAACCCAACTACACAGGTATAAAATTCATTATGGCGCCTCAATTCTCCAACATTTGATTTCTAAGAGGGAGAGTGGGGGAAAAATAAAGGTAATCACACAATCAATAGCATGGATCTTAACTACTTTTCTCTCCCGGCACTTTCTCGGCAACCAAACACGAAGTAATTTAACGAAAAGAAAACAGGTGGTAACTTGGAAACGGAAAGAAGAAGGTTCGATCGATCGATCGAAATGACCTTGAAAGAGACGGTGTCGCGAATCACGAGGCGGTAATCGACGGCGACGGCGATCAAGCGCGCGTCGGGAGAGAAACAGCAAGGGCCGGTCTGCTTGTAGGGCTCGGTGAACTCCATTGGCAGAGGAGAAAGGTCACGGAGGCAGAGAATTCCGAGTCATGGAAGCCTCAGGCGGAGAAGTGTGGCGAGTTTCGAAAATTCGGAGTGGGTTTTTGGGAGAGCTTATGGGACACCATGAATGGCCGAGGAGAAGTTGTTGAGTGTTGAGGCGAGATCTGCGAGCGTGAGAGAGAGCCAATGGGAGATTGGGGACGGTGGTAAAAAAAAAAAAGCTTTTGGATTTTCAGATGTTCACTGTAGTTTAAATTATGAGAGGAAGAGTGGGATGCGAGAGTAAAACTGAAGAGTGAGAGAGAGAGAGAGATTGTTGTGCTTTTGAATGTTTTGAAAAGACATCCGACTCCCATTTCTTTGGCTTTAAAAAATAGAGAACTGGGTTCTGTTCGGATTTTTTAAGCCGAAATATTCATGAAAATTTTCTTTATTATACCCTTTTAGATTAATTAAAGTAACTATAATTGGATCCTGTTGGCAATGAAATTCTACTCTTTGTATTTTCTTTCACAGAACAGAAAAATGGAAGATGAATTGCTGTATTTTTTTATTGGATTTGGATCCATCGGGACTGACGGGGCTCGAACCCGCAGCTTCCGCCTTGACAGGGCGGTGCTCTGACCAATTGAACTACAATCCCAAGGAAATAACATAATAAAATAAGGTGTACAGTATACATATTCTTATGTTTTTATTCAAATACTTTCGATATGGATATGAACTTTAGCAAGAGAGGCAGTGATTACTAATAATCTTGTCGTTATTTCCAAATTAATTGGATTGATCTTATTTATTTTACTGATTTAAATTTTTATTTTTTAATTTTTAAAATTAAACATTCTTAATAAAATATTATATCTCAAATTAAAATTTTAAATCTGTAAAACGAATGAGATCTTAATTTTAAATTTTTTAACTTTGATAAATTAATTTTAATCTCTCAATTTTTTAACTTTAATAAATTAATTTTGGAAGTAGGAAAAAACTATCATTAGCAAGGCTGTTTTTTCTCATTGATGAGGCGTTTTTTTTTTTTTTTTGGTTGAACTTATAATTAGTTAAGCGAGCACAATTTATTAAAAACTAAATAAATAAGTCCCTTTTTTCGCTAGAATAAATAAACCCTTCAAATATATACATAAAGAGGATGAAATATATAAGTCCTTTAAAACACACATATATATGGCTAAGAAAACCTCTCTATTAACAAAAATACAACTAGGCGCTCTACGTCGGATGATCTACACGGTAATGAAGTCCGTGTTAGTATTTTCTTCTATTTTTTTAGTTATTCATAAAATAAAGGCAGACATTATGTTAGTGCTGGTGTTTATTTTCTCCCCACAAATCGCTAGATTTATGTGGTTTTGGTTGTTTTTGTTGATTTTTATTGTGTTCCACCACCAAGCTATAATCTTGTGTGGGTTTTGTGTCGTTTTTTATCTTCTATATATCTTTAGCCAAATCACTTGCTTTGAAGAGCTTGATCGTAAAGAATACTGACTTTTAGAGATCGGTCTTTACAGAGAGTTTGCTACAGCCCTTCCGAGAGAGGCAACTGTAAAGAAAGAATTAAACGAGCCAATAGAAGTGCTCAAAATTGTGTTCATTATCAAATATTAGATCCCTTCTTATTGTATCAAGTTTTTTATATTGAGTTCTCGATAAGCGTCATGGTTTATTAATTAATAAAATTTTTTTTGCATTAAAAAAAGGAGGAGAACCCTAACAAGTCCATATCCTCTACAACCGCCAAAGAAACATCAAAGCACCGCAAAGGCCTTTCGAGCCATTACATTAGCTAACACATTCTCAATCCTAGGAATCCAACGAAAAAACATTCAGAACACAATGGAACGTCAGGGTCACTCTCCAATCAATAGGGACAATCTCGAAGATAGTGTATCCCATGCAGATCTTAGAGTCACTCTCCACCAGAACCGGGCCGCTGATGCTGGAGGAAAGTTGAATGGCCAGCAAACAAGCCATAAGCTCAGCCTCTAAAACATGTGACACAATGCAAGACTGCCTCCATTCATGAATGATATTCCCATTAGCATTCCGCCAGACCACACCAATTCCAACTTTGTTTCCCACGACCAAGGCATTGCAAGATAATATATCAGTTATATGGGAAAACTAAGGCCCCGTTCATTTCGCTGATTCAAGTTTAGCTACAGTAAAAAGCTCTCACAAATAATCACATCTAACTTTTTTGCTACAGTAAAAAGCTCTCACATAAAATCACATTTCAACTCGAATTAAAAACTCGAATCAACGAACTAAACGGGCCTTAAGTTACCTCTGGACCATCCAAAAAGGTAGGGAAGCTCTTAGCACTGTCAAGAGTTGAAGTTTGGGCCATAATAGGTTGGACTGAGGCCTGACACTGTTGGTCCAGTCCTGGTCCGCTTAAGTGTTTGGGCCGGGCCTAGTTTTCAAGCTCGAAACCTTATTCTGTCTGACCTGAACCGAACATATCTTTTTTAATTTCTTTTCTTAAAAAAACGTTTTAAATTTTAGACCATCCACCCAACTTTAGGCTTGTATGGCTTAATGGGCTGGCCCAATGTGGGCTAAAATTCCTATTGAGGCCGTTAAGCTCAAGTTGAGTCGAGTGGCCTGAACTTTCACCTTTATCTTTCACATACACAACTCAAGTTCTTAACTTAAATTGTGAAACAAACGTACCCTTATTTTCTTAAAACTAATAAAAAAACGAAACTCAAGTGTTTTTTTATTGACTAGTTTTTATGCGTCATTTTATTGTGTTTTTCGTTTTTTACTACTTTTCAAATTGTTTTAACTAGTTTCTATGTATTTTTCCCTTTTTTTTATCCTCATTTCTTTTTTTATTTACTTCTTTAATTCTTTATTTTTGTTTTATTTCTCGCCCTCATTTAATATATCATTTTTTCTTAATACACATTCTTACTCATTTTCATTTTTTAAAAGATTCTCTACAGTGTAGTTTTTTTTGTTGTTGCACTTTTATTAAATTATTTTTTCACCCTCATGTTCCTATTGAAATATAGTTTTCAAAAGAATTTTTATTTAGTTTTTTGTTGTGCAATCCTTATTATTTTAAAAGTTATTCTTAACCAACAACTAACTAAGATCTCTATTATTAGACAAAAAATATAATTAATAACACAATAATCAAAATTTAATACAATGATGAAACTTACAAAATTCGCCTCATGTGGATAGCACGTAGCTTCAACTAGTATTAAAAAAAAATAAAAAAAAGGTGCCAAAGTAAGAATTTTTGAAATTCAATGGGTAAACTATGAATGACCTTAAAGATTAATCCAAAAGAGAATGTAGTAGGTAGTAGATTTTTGAAATTAAATTAAATAAACAGTGGATTTTAAAACTATAAAAATTAAATAGTAGTTTACGTGATAAATGAATCATTTACTGCATAAACAGTTCATTTACAACTAGTAAAAATATTTTTTTTCACATAAATTTTATTTTTTTACTAATGGTAAAAAGAATTTTTTATGTAAATAAAGATTTTTTTACCACGTAAGTTATTTTTACCAATCATAAATGAATCATTTACATTCATTTACGACTTAAACTATTTTTTACTCCAAATAGTTTTAAAATCTATTATTTACTTAATTTAGGACTTGTTCAGTTGCATTTTTAAGTCAGGGTGACTTGAGTGTAGTTCTTAAGTTGAGTTTGAGTTATAACTTGAACTTGTGTTTGATTATGTACATTTGAGTTATGATTTGAGATGAGAATCTATTTGAATTTATGTTTGTTTATATTAGGACTTGAGTTGTGAATAGATGGGAGATTTTTTTTCCTTTTTTGAATTTATTATTTTTTTTCCTTTCATTCACAGCAAAGCAAAGCAAAACAAAATAGCAAAAGAGCAAAGAAAATCCAAACCAAAGCAAAACAACAAATTAACAAATCAGCAAATTAGCAAAACCCAAACTAATCATAGACATAAGCCTCTGCAAATCAATTCCATTCCAACAAATCCTCCAAATCAAACGCATAGTGACACCCCTCAAAGAAAACCAACCTATTGTTTGCATCTTGGCTCCTAGAGATCACCTCCTTTGGCAACATATCCCCCTTGTTCAATTCACGGAAAGCCCCCCAAGCCCACCAAGCTCGTCTTTCCTCTTCTTTCTTGAGAAACAAACAAGCATCAGAAAAGCAAACGCCAAAACAACAAATTAGCGTATCAGCAAAACCAAAACTAATCATAAACATAAGCTTCTGCAAATCAATTTTATTCTTGCGCTACCGTACACAATTCACAGCCAAACCTAGACCAAACCCCACAGTTTGTGCATTGACCACCCTCTTCGGGACTCTATCAATCTCTGCGCCGAACCACCACTATAGCACTACCCCACACTCTGTCGATCTTTGCCGCTTACCACTCATCGTTCTCCCCTCGACGCAACCTAGACCAAACCCCACAGTTTGTGCATCGACCACCCTCTTTGGAACTCCGTCAATCTCCGCGCCGGACCACCACTACCCCACGCTCTGTCGATCTTTGGCGCTTGCCACTCATCGCTCTCCCCTCGCCGCTCGTCGCTGCCGTCGCCGTCCGTTTGTCATCGCCAAGCAGATTGCCATGTTGTCGTTCGAAGACCAACGCTGGTTCGTGTCATAGCCTAGGTTGAGGTCTTTTGAAATCTGTAACAGGAATCTGCAGTAGAAATAAAAAGAAATAAGCTCGAGTAGTAGAGAATAGACAGAACTCAAGAAAGGGTAGGCAACTCAAATTAATTTTCGAGTTTTGTTTCGAGACCAGCAATACCAAACACAAACTTGGGCAAAAAATCCCTCGAGTGAGCCTTTTTCGAGTGAGTTGCAGCAACCGAATAAACCCTAAATACTTCTAAACACGTGACCTGCACATGTTTATTATTAGGCACCAAGTCTCCCTCCTGGTAGCCTGGTAACCCGCACGGCCACGCCGCCACCTAGTGTAGAAGAAATAAAAATTTTTAAAACTCTGAAATTAATAAAAAAAAAAATAAACCAAAAAAAAAAAAAGGAAATGACAAAACGATCAAATAAACCCTAAACCCCTCCCAAAGTCGGCCGTTAGAGTAGAGAGAGTTCCAGGACGTTGAGCTCCCAAAAACCTCCATTGATTCTCCGATTAGGTTTCTCTCCTCCAGCTACAGCCATGGCGACCACGATTGCCGCGCAGCTACAAGCCATCAAATCCTTCGTACAAGCCGACTCCGAGCCGCCGCTCAAGAGGCCCTTCACTCGCCCTTCCATTCTCTTCGACCCCAAAGAAGCCGCTGACATCGATACCGACACCATTCTCTCCATCGCCCTGCAAGGTCGGACATTTCATTTCCTCCCTTTCCGTTTGTTTCCCGAGAAAATCCAGTGGAATTTGCATTTTAGAATATTTTCTTTTGTTTTTCAGGTCTGGAAGTTCTTATAAGCATGGACGAGCGCTTTAGGAACTATAATAATGACTTGTTTAGCCATAAAAGTAAGGAAATGGATAGAGAGTTGATGGGAATAGTGGAAAATAATCGCATAAATGCGACGATTTCTTCGTACTTGCGTTTGCTTTCGTCGTATTTCCAGCTTCCTTCCTCAATCAAGACGCTCGAGTACTTGATACGAAGATACAAGTAAGCTGTTCATATAAATTTCCTCACTCTACCATTAATTAAACACCATTATTTATTTATTTATTTGTATTTAACTTTTGCTGTGGTCTTTCTTGGAATTTCAGGATTCATGTCCACAACTTTGAGGAACTGATTTTGTGTTCTCTGCCATACCATGACACCCACATTTTTGTTCGAATAGTTCAACTTATCGATGCAGGGTCCGCAAATTTAGTATTCTTTGATTTCATATAGAAGTTTTGTGATGTTAATTAGTCTTGACTTTGTTTTTTGGGTTCCTGATATTGTAGAAATAGTAAATGGAAATTTTTGCATGGTGTAAAAGTCTCTGGTGCACCCCCACCTAGAAAGGTTATAGTACAGCAATGTATAAGGGATAAGGGAGTTCTGGAGGTTCTTTGCAATTATGTGAGTATTTTACACCATTTAATCTGTTGTTAATTCGACATCTTATTGTCGTGGATCGCTATAGATGTCTCGTTTTGCCACAGGCGTCACCGTCAAAGAAGTTTCATCCCTCAAGGCCCATGATCAGCTTTTGCACAGCAGTTGTTGTCGAGGCGTTGGGTTCTGTTATATCTGTGGACAATGATGTTGTCACTAGGATTCTTCCATTTGTTAATTCTGGACTTCAGTCCGATGCAAAAGGTGGTCCAGATCACAAGGTAAGGTTTAAGGCCTCTTTATTGTCCGTAACGACTCAGTCTGATGCATTCAACGATTTTTACGTGTTGCATATGACGTTTTGGGTATTTTAGTAGCTTTTAGGTTAAGGATGCATTATTGAATAATTTGTTTGTCATGCTAATGGCATAAAAGACCATTAGACCGTACATATTTTCAGTTGAATGCCGTACTGTTTTATTCGTAGTAGCCTCATTAGACCGTACATCTTTCTTGGTATATCCAGATAATAGGTCGGAGCATAAAATAAGGGCCCATTCGTTTTACGGGTTCGAGTTGAGAACTTGAGTTGAAAAGTGAATTTATGTAAGAGAAAACATTGTAGTAAAAAAGTTGAATTTAAATTTTTGTGAGAGAAAAAATGTAACAAAAAGTTTGAGTTGTGATTTGAATTGTGAAGTGAGCGGGGCCTGAAACATTCTGGAGCTACAAAAATAGTTATCAAATTGTTAGCACTGCATAAAAACATTCTTGCTAGAGTAGCTGTTAATACAATTAACATAATCTCTGTTATAGCCATTTTTGTATATTCCATGTACGCTACGGATAGAGGAGTACATAAAGTTTAACATAGTAAAATAAGAAATTGAAAGATTTCGTTGAAATTGTTGGTTTGGAAATTTCCCAAAAAGCTAATCATAGATTCATTGGATCTTCCCTCCATTGGAACAATAGGGCCATTATAAGTTTTTCTAAACTTGTTAACGAGATGAAATATGACCAAGGTATATCTTTTGGATCAGAGGTTGAATCGATCATCAGAAGAAGAGTTAGACGAAAAATTAGGATACATTCTGGGAAAATAAAACTCCCATCGAAGAGAAGCAAATGAAAGGCTTTCATAAAAGTTCTTGTAGAATCGAGAATGAAGTTTACATTATGTACATGCCAAATCATGAATTAGTAATTGCATCCAATCTCCGAAAGATCCCAATTGTTTTAAACTTTCTCTTTTTGGAGTGGAATTTTTACGGAATCCCCATGAATAGGATCAAAATTTACTCCAGAATATTTAAATGTGAGTTCTCTTGTTGTATTAATTAAAGTTGTTGTATGTGGAATCAATCAATGGATATTGTTTTACTGTTAGTGATTAGTTTTTGTTCTATCTTTTATTTGCATTTCTATTACTTTGTACTGAATGCGCGCAACTCTTTTGGAGTACTTCTGCTTTTGAATCGGCAAAATGACAACCAAAGTATGATTCAGTTTTAGTAACACTGAATTGGATGCTCTGTGTATATCTTGCTTTTCTGTCTGTCTTTTCGATATGCTTTTAATTGCTAAATTGTGACTGATGTTTGAACAATAGATGTTCTGGTTTTGTCATCTTGTGAGTGAAGCAGGTTTTGTAGGAGTTATTTGATAAAGCAAAAAAGATACAACATGCTGCGATTTTTGTAACATTTAAAACATCAAACTTGCATTTGCTAGTCTGTTTGTGTTTTAGGTTCACATATTCTAAGTGTTGTGTTCTTTTGGTCATTCTTGAAATGACCTGATTCTTTCAGTAAATTTTTACGAAATATCTTTTCTTTGGTGTCGGCTTAGGTGTAAAATGCATGATTTGTTTGTAATAACAGTAATATTGAAACCTGAAATATATTTTTTGCAGGCCGGTGCTATGATGATGGTTGGTTTACTATCAAGTAAAGTTGCATTGTCTCCCAAACTTGTCAATACTTTGATTCGGTCAATTGCTGAAATTGCTCGTGATGATGCAAAAGAATCAATTGATCTTCAGTGGCTTCGGTTGTCACTTATGACTATGATCAACCTCATTCAGGTATTGCCTTGTTCCGTTATTTTTTATACTTTTTCTTGTTCTCTCTAGTTTTGTTCTTGGTGTTTCATTTGAGATTCTCTTAATCTGCAGTTTTTACCCCAGTTACGCATCTAGAAAAAAACAAAAATACAGTTGAATGCTTTCTCTTGCCATTTCCACTATTCACCGGTTGCATGCTTATTGTTGATAATGCATTGTTGCTGTTTGTCGATAAGATAAGGATTTGGTAGTTAGTATTTTTTTTGTATTTGAATAAAAGCGGAAGATTAGGGTTTATCATTATAGATAAGTTCTTCTAGGATTCGGGTTTATCATTTGTTAGGGTAGTTCCTATCTTTTAGGAAGGTTGAGATTCTATCTTCAGCCTATTTAATCTGTAATGTTTTTAATCATTAATGAATAAGAGAGTAAAAAGGTTCTCTCTACAAAATTTACACTGTTAAATGTCAATAATATTGGAAACACATTGCTGAATCTAGTTGATGCATGTAATTCTTTAGCTTGAAATAAAAAGACTTCTAATGTGCGTTATCACTGCTCGTGTAAGATTCCTTTTTCCCATATTGCCTTGAAGTTCTTGCTCTCTTATATAATGAGACAAAGAGTACACTAGACAGAAGATTTAGTTTATTGAAGTTAATGAAGCAAAGAAGAGGCAAGAGGAAAAAGAAAAATACCTTGGATAGAGTTTTGGATGTACTGAAGATGGATTTGATCGTCTAAGATGTGATTTGAACTACAACTTGGCATATGACTGACTATGGTATATAATAAGCATTAGATAAAACTTTTTATCTCCGGCTTTATATTTGCCTTTTCATTACAAGTGTTATTATTCGAGGGTGGGAGATGTCATCTCTGTCGCACCATTTATTCTTTTGCAATACGAGTAGTTGGTTTTTAGGAGCGGTGTGGTTGTTTTAGATGCTCAGTGTCCGGGAATCTGACGTGACAGTTACTGCATAGGTCGGTTTGGTTTTCATTATTTGGCATGTACTGATATTCTTGTGCATATTTATTTATCTGTTCTCTTAATTTTTCTGCTACTAACTGTTTGCACAAAACCTTCAGTTGCAATCTGTTGATGTGTTCCCACAGAAGGCTTTGGAGACTCTGATGGAATTCCGGTATTCTTTGTTGCCCTTGGTGTATTTAAACTGTTTCGCATTATTTTTTTTTGGTTACTTATTAGGTTTATTTTATATTTTAATCTGAAGGGATTTAGCCGGGATTCTTTTGGAACTGTTCAAAGAGTTCAATATAGATAAGTTCCTCTATGTGCTTCTGGATTCTCTGGTTGATCACAGGTGAGAAAGAGATTGTTCTTTTAGATTATCACTGTGAATATATCTTCTTTTCATGGCTTCAAACTGATTATTTTTTCGTTTGCAGTTTTTCTGATGAATCATGTCAGTCTTTCTTGATTTCAATATTGGAGGTAGTTCCTATAAAGGATTTTGTACACCAGGTGGTCGCTAAGGCCCTATCTTATTGCTTGAGAAATTCACAGAAAATGAGCAATTCATCATCATCTCCATCAGGTACTGCGTTAGGGAATGGTATTTTTTTTATTGTCGTTTTTATGTCACGGATGCGTCCATTTTTATTTATTTCTTTAATATTTATTTTATTTTAATTTCTTGAATGCTCTTTAGAATGTCACTGCTTTTCTTAACACGTGGTTCTAGAATTTCTTGCTATATGTTTCTTGTCCACTAAGACGGTCTTTCTGTTAAATAGGTCACTGGCTGAAGCAAATTTTATCTGTTCTCAATAAGCTTTATCCATCTGAACTACAAGGAGCTGTTAAAAAATTCCTTAAAGTACGTGTCCAGTCTAGTCTCTTTTCCTCTCTCATCTTTCTTGCTTTGAATGCTTATGTCTTTCTACATCTCTTACTTCGACAGGAAAAAAAGGTCCAATCTAAGAAGGGGGACTCAGTATATGAGATTTTGTGCAAGATATTGGATGGAAATTCAGATATGTCACAATTGACTCTCTCTCATTCGAAACTTTGGTTTGCATTGCATCACCCAAAGGTATTACAGTTATAGAAATATTTTTTACATTTCTCATCTGGGCATTCTTTTTCTACTAACATGTTATTGTGTTTTAGGCTGATGTGCGGTGTGCTGTGCTATCTGGCTTAAACATGACTAGTATCCTGGAGACGAAGGCTACTGATCCACAGGTTGTATTCAGTGGTGTCCTTTATTGTTTGTTGGTGTCTTTCTTGTTTTTTAGAGTGGTGATATTGCAGGGCTTACTACTTTTTTGCTTAACTAATGCTGGTGGTTGGTTGACAACTTCCTGTGGTGATTAATTCTTGCTTTTGGCTAGAAGGTGCAATTTTTGGGTTGCAACATTGTGTTTGATACTCGTGACTTAAAAATTTCTCTCTCATTTTCTTTTCATTTTTTATTCTTTTAAGGAGGTTTTATATCTATATCTGCTCATATAATTTGCCATTAGGTGTTTGTTGTGGTATCTATGTATATTGCTCAACTCCCCCTACTTCTTCCCCCCACCGTGAAAATCAGGAGTATATGATATAGCTTCATTGTTTTTATTGTTTGCTTTAGTAAATGGGATGTCACTTCATAGTCTACTTCTCTTGGTGATTGTGAGTCTTCATGCGAATTGCTGGTTGTCGTCCTTCTGCCAGTTTGCTTTACTTTTTGTTTGATCTTTTTCGGATGGATGGAATATGATAAGACCTCCTGAAATTTGTCTACACATCTAAGCATATTATATTAGCTTCTCGATAAAAAAAGAAGAAAATTTCACGCTCTTTGTTTCTTGTTCTTTGTTAAAATTATTTCTTTCCCATTTGGAACAGGGTTTTTCTTCTGTTCAAGATGCCATATTGCGTCAGATTTATGATGAGGATCTTACTGTTGTTGAGGCGGCTGTTTCTCTTGATGGGTTGATAGATGTGCTAGATTCTACTGATGTTCTTGAAGCATTGAATAGCGTGATTAAGCGATGCATTGGTATTCTTTATTCAGGTGAGTTTGTTATGTGCTTTGGCATGAAAGTAATTCTACAACTTTTTCTGTATGTTTCTTATGCTTTCTTGAACAAACTATTAATGGATAACACTAGCAAAATATGGACGTACCTACGTGACCACGTCTTGTTTTTTTCTTTGTTACTGCTTGAAGGTTCATCAGAGAACACTAGTCTAGCATGTGCTGTTGCTCTTTGTTGCCTGGAGAAAGCAGACTTGTTATCCCGTGATCATACAGATCATCTGAATATGCTTGTTGCAATGACGTGTCCTTTACTTTTAATTCGTCCAAAGGTTGTTCTCTTTTTGGTCTATACCTTAGTTTCTTTAGTTTCCGTTCTTGTACAAGTGACCTGATTTTGTTTTATTTTTCTTCATTTTACCTGCTCCAGACACAGAGGTTAAATTTGAAAGCTTTAGAATTAGCCAAGAATTTGAACTGGCCGTTTTTTGAGAATCTTCCTAGTGTCCCCTGTTCAGAAATGGTAAGTCATCAACTTTTTCATTTCATTTGAAGAAATTAGCTACAGTATTTCTTACTTATTCTTTGTGGCCTTTTCAAGTTATTAATTATGGTTGCTTGATATCTTTTACGGTGTTAGATCATAATTCTTTGTTATTGTGGGGAAATAAAGTGCAGGTGCTGCAACGAGAAAGCATATCTTCAATTAATCTGAGCACTATTACTTGTTTGGCAGAAGGATTCTTGAAGCACCCTGAAAAATATGTTGCTTCAATTACAGAGTTTTGTAAAGACTTTGAGTCATCCAAGACACTTTTCTTTTTGGTTCTTATGCAGTCATTTTTAATGCAAAAGGATAGTACGTGTCTCTTCTTCCCCCCTTTAATTGGAAATGCAATTATACGTTTATTTTTTATTCAAGAAAAATTTTAACATTATTCTTACTCTCAGCCTGTTAGGTTTGCTGTGAATACTGTCACATTTTTAACGGCTGTTGCTTGTATACTGCCTTTTTCTTCCTCTGTGTTTCTGCTTCTTCTTTTTTTTTTTTGGTTGAAATTTTTCGGTTCTTACTCTTTCTTCTGCCATGTTTCTTTTTCTTCCTGGTATCAACATTCTTTTGCACGTTAATAGGAGACTATAGGAGTCCTGTCCTGGATATTTTAAGATTATAGCTGTTGGTGAACGTTGATAGTCACAACTGATTATAATCAGGCTGGGGTAGTATAGGAGTGAAAAAAGGAAAAAAAAGGAGAGATTTCAGAGGATTGCAGCAATACTCAGTTGCTATCTTCCCAAGACTTGATTTTTGAAGAGTGTGGAGTTGGAATGAGTAAATGAGAAATTTGGAGGGTTCTGCAATGAACTTTAAGTGTCTTTAGTTCCTATCAGATTCAGCATAAAAAGGAAATCTGTAAGTTGTACCTACAGAGAAAAAAATTAGAAAGGCTTGAGAGAACTAGGAGATTGTGAGATATGATATCAGCTATAATTGATTGGAAAGTGGAGTAATGCTGTGGAAGTCGTTAGTTTGACATTAGAGGGTTTGGGTTTGGACGTTGAAAAATTAGTTATGAGGGAGGTTGTTGAAAGAAACTAATACTGGCATAACGTGGGAGTTGTTGAAAGAAACAAATATTGATGTAATAATTTTCTAGGAAACAGAAAAAGCTTTGGACTGTAGGTTGCTAAAGTTGAAATTTCCTTTTTAAAGATCCCAAACGGTTCTGTTTTTGTTGTCTGTGAACGAGTTGAATCCTTTTAAATCTATCGTTAGGGATTTTTAACCTTTTTTTAGAGGTTAAGAAGTAATATGAGTAAGAATGTCACGTGGGATTAATTCTGTTGATAGTCTCACAAAATAATATGTTTAAGATTGGATTGTTCTTTTGGTAGTTAGTCCCTGAAAATCATGGAACTTTTTTCTGGTGAGATTTACGTTTTTTTTGGGATGTATTTCAGTTTTATAAGAGGTTAATATGTGAAAGAGGACTTATCTTTCTAGGGTGGAACTTGGGAGGTTAATTTTCATTTGATCTACATATCTAGTATCTTGATATGCATATCTCTGAAGGTTTGCGTATTTGCAATTGTAGAAATTATGAGATTTCTTATCCTTCTTTGAACTTAATGTGATGTTTTTAGTACTAATTCTACTTGATAATTTCCTTGTATGCCAGAATCTGGTCAAATTTTATCAGTCTTGGAAGCCGGCTACCCGATACTGAAGACTGAATGGAAAGCATTTGAAAATTTGGGTGATGCCTCGTTTAAAGAGGTAGGAAAGAATACCATTGGTTATTAGAAAATAGTCTTCTGGTCAGTTTGGAAAGAGT